TCCGCAGATGAGTGATGTTGAAAAGGTGCAAGACCCCAAATCATATTTATTCTTCTGCCAGCGGATGGGCGACCACTGCATCTTGTCTGCAAGCCACAGCATCCTGCTGCTCATTGCCACTCACCATTTTTTTCCCACTTGGAACAACTCTGGGAATATCCCTGTGTGGATGAGCGGCCAGTGAGCAGTTGTGGGCGCTTTGCAGGGCATTAGCTCCCAAAATGCTGGGGCTGAATGCCTGGGGTGGAAGGAAAGAGGCAGGGAGGAAAGGTGCGGAGCACCCATGGGTCACGCGGGACGGAGGGATGGAGCAGCTGGATGGTCTGGCGGAGCTGCTGGGATGCTCTGCAGGAGCAGGAATCCACTCTTCCCTCCCATATGTTTCACTTTAGAGAACGATCCATGTAATAAATCTCCTTCTGTTTCTATTGCGATGGCAAATTTGCTTTATCCTCTTTCTAACAGCTCCCTCGGGACCCCGAACAATAGCCCAAAACAATGAATCCTGCCGAATCCTGCCGGTGCCGCTTGTGCCGCCCCTGAGCACAGCCCTGGTGCTCGACATCCCAGGAGCATGTTTGTCCCTACCGGGCATCGATGTCCCCAGGCACAAGGGACATCTCCATGTCCCCTGTCCTTGCCCACAAGGAGATGGAGAGAAGTCTCGGGGCACCCTTGTGGTGCTAACGGAGAAAATTTTGCCTGGATGCAATTTTAGCCCAAATAAATTTAAATAAATAAAAAGATAGATAGATAAATAGATAGATAGATAGATAGATAGATAGATAGATAGATAGATAGATAGATAGATAGATAAAGAGGGGGAGAAAGGGAAGATTTCAGATTTCTTTCTCCTTTTCTATGGCCCATGTCGCGTAATCCCAATGCAGTTCTCAGGTAATCTTTCCCAAAGTGCATCCCTGGCAATCCCATCCATTCCCGGCACTGTTGCGTGCACGGGGCCAAGGTGACACTGGAGCAAACCGTGACTTCGGTGAGGATGATGTTGGGGTCTGGGACTCTGACACATCATCGCAAGCTCTGCCTCTGGCCCCAGAGCCACGAGGACCCCGAGAAGAGCCGGGGGCTCCTTCCCAKGATGAGGGCAGTAATTAAGGAAAGAGCTACGGGCAGGGCAGAGTTATCACTTACTCATCACAGGCCACCCTTGGACTTGGCCTGACCCCTCGGTAATTACCAGGGCCAATTAGCACCTCCATTGGAGAGCATCTGCCTGGACCACGCTGGCCCTCAGGGCAAGCAATGGTCATGGGGAAGCATCTTCAGGGGCTTCTAGGGCCAACACTGCTTTTCTGCTCAGCCACGTGGATGTGACAAGAGTCACCTCCACCCTCCAGCCACCTGCGAGCACCCCAAATATCACAGGGGAGTGGAGAACCCCGTTCTCTCCCAAAGCCCTTTCCCACCGGGTGCTCCGGACCCGTCACGCGCCCCGCAGCTCAGCACTGTCCTGTTTATTTGCACCAGCACGCACCGTTAGACCAAACAAACCGAGTTTGGTTAACACCGACTGCTTTCCTGCTTTCTGCATGCAGTAAATTCACTGGCTGTATTAACACGCCAGAACCGCTTCATCTGCCGGCATCAAAATCTCGGTTACCTCATCTCCAGGGAACGTCCTTCAGTAACACTTCAACAAGTTTATTTAGTTGTTTGTCCTTCCTTCCTTCCTTCCTTCCTTCCTTCCTTCCTTCCTTCCTTCCTTCCTTCCTTCCTTCCTTCCTTCCTTCCTTCCTTCCTTCCTTCCTTCC